CAAATATTTGCTGTATTAATCCAAAATTATCAGAAGACTGAATTCATAAGTTATTTAGTTATTACGTCCAAATAAAATATCAAATATAACTGTATTGCCTAATGTAAATAATTTTGTACTTTTTATTTTGTTAACAATCCAAATGCTAATTGGTAGCAAATTTTCACTCCCACTTCGCTTTTTTTTTTAATTCACAATACGATCTGCAGTAATATTTCTTACTATTTGACTAATGTAGTCCAGTGGCGGTCACTCTTTGCTATTTTCTCCTTAATAGTACTTTCAATCATTCTATTATTATATTTCTAATACTGTACTATGAAAACATAATTGATAAATTGATTTTTTAATTTTACGAAAGTTGTTGTAGACTGAGACAAATAAGAATATTCTGTATAGCAGTGTTTTTTTAAACGTATTGAGATCACGGAACACAAAACAATAATATTATTTGATGCGGAACACCTAAGATGAATATCTTCGAAGAAAGAAGGTACACAAAATACGGTAATAAGCGGTAACGTTAACAATATACTAAAATACTAAATACGACGCAATGTAATTAAACTATTCATTCAGAAGGATCGTAGAATCCAAGAAGTAACATCTGACATTAATAACAGGAAAAATAATTGTAAAATTAGTGCGTGCATCTGGATGGGACGGATGAGCTAGAATGTGACGCACATATCATCGATGTCTGGAGTAGGATTCGTTAATGTAAGTCTTAGTGTCGGTGTCAAATTAAACCTATTTCGATGTTTAGTCATGGTTGCGTTGACTGTGAAGAACCCACACAAGTACGTAAAAGGAAAAGGAAGTAGGACTCTCAATGTCTTATCACTTAACACCTCGTATTCGCAATGCACTACCCAGCGCTGTGTCGCTCGAACAAAACGCAGTGTCGCAAGACACTAAACCCACTCATTTTACTTTTAATTGTTCCAGAATATCATTTGGTTTTCGGTGCACGTGAGTTATGATACGACGTCCGTGTGTTCGTGTGATTGCCACTCATGCGTTCGGTATTCATGCATTGTACTGTAATACGTTGCACTTATGTAAGAACTGTACAATATTATTGTCGTGATTAAATGTGTTTTTGAAAACATGTTCTTATAAGCTATCGAGAGATCTACGCATTACGGTGCAGGACTGATCGATTCCAGGTCCCCGTTACTTACATTAATTTGGCCAAGACATACATACTACTAGTCCATATTCTAGTACAGGTTAGGCTCTTGAACCAAATTTAGGCTTAAATTAATAGATATAACATTTTGTTGGAATCGTTAGTAACATTAATAAGTTTTTTTTTTTACCGCTGTCGGTTTCGTTATCATTACGGTTGTTATTAGATATAGATTGGTACGGCGGCGGTGCTTTTAGTATGTGTAGCCAAAAAACAGTCACGGCGTGTATTTCGACCGCGCCTTACTGAAAAAATGAACACTAGAAAAAATTTCACTTCTCATAATGTGAATAATTTTAATAATAATAATGTTTTATGTGGCGTAAAAAATAAATTTCCTTCATTTGATTTAAAATAAAAATATATTTCTTCATTTTATAAACATCGCTTTATAATGTGGCTAGCCTCGAATCAGCTTTATAAATTTTCTGCTCCCAAAGTTAAGGTTAGTGGTCACCGTCGTGCTCTAGTACATTGGAAATGTTCACCATTTGCACCTCGTATTACGGTGAATGAGATTATAGAATAATTTATACAAAAGGCTAAGACGACGGGTCCCGGGACTCTAGTCCTGACTGCTCCACCCTCTCACCGGTCATAGTAGTGATAAGCCGCGTCCGAGCGATGAGCAATCGTACCGAAAGTTGATTCGTCGATTCGCGAATTCGGTAGACGGATAGACGGGCGGAGGTATCGCACAGTGGTCTAAAATTGAAAAAAGATGGCCAAAAATGTTTATTTGTAACAATTGCATTTCAAAGAGTGGCCAAAAAATATTTAAATGATTTAATATACACAAACGATATTTCGTCAAAATTAAATTTATTTAAAACTAATTTCAATGCACAGTTTTTTTTTCTTGTAGTGAACCAGACATATTGTTAACAATAATATATTTATGGACATCAAATCGAATGATAACAGATGAGCCAAATTATATGTCACGGTAAATCACACACAAATTAAATTTAAAACTTACTAAAATAGTAAAATGTTAAAGAAAATTAAATGTTAAACAAAAAATTAGCAAAAATATAGTTAAAAGTACCAAGAAGATGGTTAAAGGCAGACAAGCTTACCGATCGCTCACGGCGGTCGGTACACCATCCGCGAACGCTTCGTGATACATTGCCGTTTCCGTTCTTTTAATCAATCAGGTGTCCCGATAGATAATCATATGTACGATGATACCAAAGCAAAGGGGTGTGACGGGTAAGATCGCGGTATCCGTGAAACACGACCGTGTCATAATGAATAACACTGTATCGAACGCACGAATACGACTATTCAAGTATATCAATGATTTCATAAACATGTTAAATTCAATAATGTCTTATCGAAAGTAGAGTAGATATGAGCAACTATTTTACACATAAACGTTTTCGGTATATTATCTAGTTTTATTGTATGTATATATGAGCGTGGTGACTATTGTTGACTAAATAACTTAAAATCGTAGTCTTAGTTACTTATAAATAGTCTATCAGTAATTAATTGAATTCAACGACCTACAAAGTCGTACACATAGTTTAATGTCAAATATAAATATTTGACAGCATATATATACAATATAATATATCCAAAGATAAGATTAATTTTAAATAAGAGTCGTTTAAAATTAACTAATAATTAGTACAAAATTAATGGTAAAATGATATTTTTGAATAAAAAAGAAACATTTTTCAATATAAATACAGATTTGGCATAAGTAAAAATGAATATTTTTAAAAAAATTTTATAATATAAAATTCTAAAAGAAGTGTAATACATTTTTAAAACAAAATCTTTGAAATATAATTGTTACAAATAAACAGTTTTGGCCATTTTTTTTCAATTTTAGACCACAGTGTGTCGCGGTGCTAGGCCATCGAATCTTTTAAGCCGGTCGCACACTACTCGCAGGCGCGTACGCAATCGATTCACAATTACATTTTTAATCGTTGACGAACTCGCAAGTAATGTGTGGGACTGGACAAAATTGCTACGATTGCACTAGCAATGGCACTCGTAGTCGATCGCCCAGAATACGGTAAATTGTTCCGAATCAAAGAACCCGTACACGATCGAGGTAATCTCCGCATTGGTCGGGAATGATCAAGAGTAATCGAAAATTATCGGATGGTAAACCGGTGAACACATAGGCGGGTCTAGAATTTTACATTTGAGTGTGCCCTGCATTTTTTTTTTTTTATAATATGGAGGAGAGGTTATATTCATATATTCACTCGCTTCATGCGTTTTTTTTTAACTCTTAATTTTTCCCGTAAATTACATGAAAGTTAAAATATTTTAGGTGTTCAACACTTGTTCAATAACCAATACTATATAACCTATTATTGTACAATATACACTTGTATGGCTATTGGCTGCATACATTTTAATATTATGTAATTTGCAGGGGCTCCGAATGAAATTGAAACTGCCAGTTCAAATAATTAGATCTACCCACCCACCCTTCAAATACCAAAACATTTTCCTGAACATCTTTAAATATCAAAGATGTTATATAATATTTAATTATTAAATATACTATTTTAAATAGAAAATATTTGTCAAGTAATATAATATATTATATAAAAAAACTGATTTAAATTTTTTAATGATAGTTTTTATTTTATTTTATTAACATTCCAATTGAACTACCTGGAGTACGGAGTACAATGGTAATACGTAAGTATTGATTATAATAATGTACCGTTTAATTTTTTCATAAAGTAATTTTTAAAATATTATTTTACATTTAACAATGGAAACACCAAAATAACATTAGCTTTGATTACAGTAGTATAATTTACGTATCATAATAATTGTGTAAGCTTATAATAGCAATCGTCACGATATTTTTAAACTCTTCCGAAAGTAACTTCAGAAGTTTAAACGTTGACTGTCAATTGCTGTGTGACGTACGACACGAGCGATCTTGTCGACCTTAACTTCGTCGAGGCCGATTTCGATAACGCTCTTTCGGAAAAGCAGCTTGTCACGGAATAGACGGAAAACGTTTAGGATGCGACTCAGCACACGCTGTAGATCCGTCTACCGGATAATCGGTAAGCGTTGAATGTACTGGGCTCTGGTTCCGATCAGCGCGGGAGGACATTTCGGAGTACGTGCAATCAACAGGAACGGTCTCTACCGTGATTACTCACGAGTAGTGCGGCTCAAGAGCGATCCAGAGGTGGAATTAGGAATTTTTACGCCCGGGGAAAATGTTAAAACTACGCCCTACCATAGACCAATAATCAAATACTCTTCTCGAGAATTTTTTTCCAACAATTAATATACAATCATGCTTATCGAGTTTTAACCTAATATCGGTATTAAACAAAGTTAAAAATATCAAATTAGTCGTTAATGAATACAAAAATTACACCCTGTAAAATTTTACGCCCGGGGATGAATACACGTTTTCCACCCGCGAGTTCCGCCCCTGGAGTAATCACATTTGGTCGTTACGCGTTCGGTGCACGTGCCGGTGGGAACGAACGCGGCGCCGCGACGGAGGTCTACAGAGCAGTCGGCAACGGGAAAACCGTAGTCGTGTACCGCGGCGTTACGTCTTCGTCTCGTGGCTGCGGTGACGTCGTGAGGTGACCGGCAGTGACGCGCGCTCGTTACGGCCGCGCACGCGCACGACGGGGCAACACGTAACGCGAACGGGAACGGGTTTGACGACGACGCACCCGATTGAGCCCCCTACTCCACTAAGCGTACGTGTCTGGGGGGGGGGGGGGACGCTCTCACCTCTCTCACGCGTTCCGGCTCGGCCGCCGCCGCCTACTCGCTTGCCGGGGAAAATGTTCCGACGACGCCGACGAGTTTCGGCAGTCTGACGAGAACCGCGCGATCGAATCGTTCACGTATCGTCACGGATCCACATACGCACACACCGAGCACGACCAACCGTTTTTTCCACGACCGAGGCGAGCCCAGTCGCAACCGCCGCCGTTTCAGGTGAGTTATACAACGCCGAAAAGATTCTCTACCTACGTCGCGAAAGATTTTTTTTTGTTTTCTCCGTCATCTCGAAATAATCTCTGTGTAACATTATATACTCGGAAGGTACGCAGGGTTTACGACGACAGGGCACGCGAGCGCCTTTCACCGACCGGACGGGTGAGGGTTAGGGGTGGAGGACGCGATTCTTTGACGTCGCGTATTTCGTTTCGGGTTTTCGCGTTTGATCCAAGCGCGTGAACCGTTCAAGCCGTTCGTGTCGGCGATGAAGTCGCTCGCGGGCGTTTTACGATTACCGTTACTACCGCGCGCGCACCGTTTCGTTTGCCACCCGTACACAAACACGACTTGTAAATACATTTCTCGGCCCCGCGGCATTCCGCCGACCAAACTCGAGACGGTTCTTTTTTTCTTTCTCCCTTTCTATTGTTTCAATCCGTTACTGTTGCCTCGGACAGGGAAATTTTTTCTTCCACGACAGCCGCGACGACAATCCATTTCGACGCTGTTAACCCGTATCGACTTGAAAAACGCGCGCGCATTACATGTGCACACGTTAGAGAGTATTCAACGCGCGCATTCAGACCGCTGCCAAACCCGTTTCGTCTTTCGGTCGAATTCCGTTTCGGTGTTGTTAAATACGGACCACGGGTTCGTGCACAGATGATCCGAATCTCTGTTCGACCGCCTACGTGACAACGAACCGAACGACGACTCGTTTTTTCGTGTGTCCTGTGTCGCGTTAAATGTCCTCAAATGGTACGAATAACGACCGCGGACGACACGAATGCGCGTTTTTCTTATTATATAAGTAATGTTTTTTATTTATTTTTTTTTACTTGTTCGGTGCAAATTCATAAACGTCGTTCACGTGATACACCGATAGTGTTCGATCGAACTTGTAATTCGATTACGTACGTTGAAATAGGTATTTCCCGTAAACAATTTTACCCGTCTCTAGTCCGTAATTTCATGCTCAAAACTATAAGGCGATTGATGGTTAATAGTAATAACAATTACTTGGGGATTATTTTATGTTAAGAGCATAAGTGCCCACGCCGGTACTCGGTTGGCAAGTCGGGAACGTTTTAATCAATAGAGATTATAATAAATAACAATACATTTTATTGTTTCTGGTACGTAAATGGTAAATGATTACTTTGTATTAAAATAATCTCATCTACCTGTGTCGTATTAAGAAGCATTTTTACATTATATTTCAAACGAAGCAAAATCGCTCGTCATTATCAAGTTTACTGATCCATAAATAATACTACAACGTTCGGGGCGTTTACGTGTAAACTTCTATGAATATTAAATTCTATCTTAACACAATGCATCACTTTATAAAATCACATCAGTAAGGACACGTCTAATCTAACCGAACTTGACAACGCCTTACAATTATATTGTAAAAACCAATTTTTTTCGGTCCAAATGTAAGTAAATATAAAATAACTTCTTAAAATAATATAGATAAATTTCACTATCCTTATTGTTTTACCAAATGGTTCGTGAAATATTACCTGTATTAGTTGTAATTTCATTACCGTCGTTTGACTACGTTTTAATTTACTTGCAAGTTGTGATATTTCATATTGTACCAGTCATCAATTGAGTTCAGCGAACTTAATATTGGTATCACTACTGTGGTAATAAATATTTTTAAAATCGTTTACACTGTCTGTAAACAATATTGTTCTCCCCATAAATAAATAATTTCACTGCATATCCATTCGGTTACTTATCAATTGTAATATTTGTTGTGTACACTCGAGTGTGACTAGAAGATTATTATTTGCGTTATTTTCGTGTAGGTAAATCCAAACCGTACGTTTATAAAATAACAGACGGCTATCTTTGGAAGTAATGAACCCTATATGCACAAATCTCCACTGTAGTGCTGTTACGATTCTCGTTCACCTGGTTTTGTAGATTCTAATGGATATCGCCGTGATATACCTACATGTGCATGCGCATATTAGACGTCAGCATCCGCATTCATAACGTTTTAACCTATTTATTCGTTGGTAAATCTTTTTTTAATTTTATGAGACAGGAAAAATCATAAAGACAATCTTCCTACGGATTATAAATCTAAATGTTTACAACCGTGAATGTCGACCCAGTATTTATCAATACTATTTTACTTCCTCAAAGCTATGGTAAATAATGTGGAGTTGGTGAATGCAATCTAAAATGTATGCGCAATATACCTTCCACCTACCACCACCTACTCGTTTTAGTTAGAAACAAAAAATGTTTTCGCACTTAAACCTTGAAACTAAATTTATTTCTGCGTGAAACAAATGGGGGCTACACAAGGTTATAAATTAAAAAAAAACAAATTTTAAGATAGTTTTACTTTAAGAAAAAAAAAAAGAAATGCATTTGCTTAATTTAAGAGTATATACGACAAATTATATATCTTGGACTGACCACCGGATACTATGACGTTTCGCTATTAATACCCGATTACAATATATTTAAATGCGACTGTATAGAAAACATCGAAGTATTTGCAAATCGTAAAATTTATTTTTAATATTGTAAAACTGAAACTAAATTAAATTAAAGTATTTTAAAGTAAAAGTGTTTTGGTTTCAGTAAAAATCTAATGAATATGTATTTCATTATTACTTTAATCATTTTCACTGTTTATCATGCTTAAAAATAATATTTTATGGTTTGTCTCACTTAGGTATAATTTTATATGTAATGTAATTTGAAGATAATTATATGTGATTAATGTGACCTTGCGATGAAACTGGATGGTAATAATTTAGTTAAAATTACGGTTATGGAAAAACGATAATTTTATCAAACATATTGATGTTTTGTAAGGATTCGAATTTTGCTAATTTCCATTTATAACCTTTTAAGGTCTCGTGTTTAATTACCACACGTAGTATATAGTAATTAGTACTTGTTTGGTGTCCAATAAATACAGTAACAATACATAACGTTACGGTCGTAATGAAGTAAATACATAACTAAAAAGAAAAAAAAAATCCAAATATGCCAACTCTGCATGTACAGTAAATTATATAAAGGTACAGGAAATTAAAATCGGACATTAAAATCCGTGTAATTTGTAATAGTTCTGTCAAACATTACCGGATCGTACGAATAGATTAACGGACACGGGTACTATTTTACGATATATAATTCAGATGAATGCAAATCCGACGCAAATTATTTTGTAGGTTATGTTTTTGTCGAAATCACATGAATAACATCGAGTTCATTACAAAGGAATATATGTTAACAGATCATTTGAGTTTAAATAATAATTCGCTTACTGTACTTTCTCAGTGTATGAACTTCATGAAATAGTATCAACATGTTTCAGACCGTATTTTTAAATATATTTTAATTTTAACGGAATTTCAATTATTTAGAGGCTAAATTACTGAACATGAACATTTTCTTTATTATTATATTAAAAAACGTATGGGTTTCACCTAAAAACACCACATGAATATGATGCTATCAGAATAGCTATAAAAAATATGACAAATCAATTTTTTGTTCATAAAAAGTTAGTGACATACAAATACTGAACGTATTGAAACGATTTTGTAACTAGTTTCCAATAATTTTAACCTACAATGGAATTAATTATCTGGAAGAGTTATACATTGTAAATATTTTTGTAATGATAACTTATAAAAATTCGTATAGACTTATTAATTAATGAAGGTTTCTATGAGCTTTCAGATTTTTTATATTTATATTTTGGAAGAAGATAAATATATCTTTTTGCATACCTATAAAAAATATTATGGATGTTATTTGTGAATATTATAATTAAATAATATTTTGATATGAAAAGCAAGTAAACCAATTATTCTTAACTATTCATACATATATTTATATAGCTGTTTTAATCATATCGAGCTTTTATTAAACTTTATGGCTTATAAAATAAATATTACAAACGCTATATACCTACGTAGAAAACATTCTAAATATTTTTCTGAATTTAAAGTAAAAAAAAATATAAGACCTAACTATTTTCGATTAGAAATTATATACTTGTATTTTTATGATATTTAATATCATATCTGATTACAATAGTTCACCGTGATTAAAATTAATACCAATCAACTTATGTTTTTTTAATTTTCAAAAAAGTGTTCCCAAACCGATTATGAAATAAATAATATTTCACCTGTTAAAAACGTATAAAATGTTATGTAGTAATGGTTATTGTGTATATTAAAATGATTCATTCAAAAGTAAAAAATGTCTAAAATAATAAACATAAAAATTAACTGAGAATATGAGTAGTCCTTGTTTATTAAAATAACCAAAAATACTCCTAAATAAACACTAAAAATATCTCTAAATATATGTATATATATCAATACATATTTATTGAGGGTATCAGTCTTCGTTTTTTTTTTTTTAAGTTCTTTTAGATGCAAAACCATTGTTCCATAACAATTTATGACTTCTTATTTTGTGTTACATTTGCATTTTGTGAGTGACAGATAAATCAATACATAGTGAAAAATGCAGGCGAACCATCTTTGAAAAACTTTTAATTTCTCTTCGTTTTCAAATAAACATGTGTTGGATGAAAATTATCAGACGAAAAACGTAGGCATCCGTAGAGACCTTTTGGTCGAACCAATAGAAAAAAAATTATATTCTCACAGCGAAAATAATAATAATATAATTTAATAATTGGTCATGTCGATGATGATGATAATATTGCGTCATTATAAATACGATTCGGTGTTATACCTAGCTCCGGTCGCGGTTAACTGCACAATACGCACGTCTTAATGGCTATTTTTGACGTGTCGATTTATTCTTTACCACTTCCACGCCAAACGGGTACGTTTCTTTCGCATCTATTCCAATTTAAAAATGAGTTCGTGTCGTCGTATTTTCATCACGTCGCGTAACTGATGGAGCATATTTCAATATCGGTTGACCGAGTATCTTTTCCCAAAAACACATTTTTCAATGGCTCATCAATAATAGCG